ATCTTTCTGAGAATGCTTCCATGTTCTTTCACAGCTGCATTTTTCTGATAATTTCTTGTAGGTAGGAGTGCTCATGTTAATATTGCTCTTATTTTTCCACTAAGAGGTGAAGCAATGGGGCCATGATGAGCTAGGTAGCCTGATCTTCCACCAGGGCCATGATGACATCTAAGCCTGATCTGCTACTGAGGGCCACACCTAGGTCTGTGGCCCTATAGTAGCCAGGGTCTGTGTTTATATCCTTGGCTTCTGTTACCATTGATGGCCACGTGGATGCCCAGGGTCTGGGCTACCACCTGGGGACACGTTGGTGTCTGAGGGCCACACTGCCATTGAGGCCATGCCGATCTGAGTGTCCTGCACTGCCACCTGGAGCCACGCTGATATTCTGACCTAGGCTGTTGCTGAGGATCCATGGTCCTGTTGAAGCGGGGGTCAGTGTTGATCTCTGTGGCCCATATTACCAAAGGGGGCCACAGGGACCATGTGTGTTGAAATCCAAGGGCTGTGCTGAGCCTGCTCCACCCTTTGCTGACCCTGAGAGAGCTGACTCTGGCCTTAGCTGGCCACTGCAAAAGAAGAGCCAGCCCCACACTCATAGGAGAGATGGTCCCATCTCCCCTCATCATGGGCATGACAGAGCTGGCCCTGATGGCATGGGCATAGAAGAGCTGGCTCCACCTCTCACCTGAGAGGGGTAGTCCCAGTGGCCTGGACTGACCAAATCAGCTACCACCCAAACCTACATCCAGAGCTTTGAGCTGCAAGAGTGTGCGAAGGGACTGGTTCTGTGGAACCATGGTCGCAGGATCTCCATGACTCAGAGCAGCAGCAGGATATTGGAGAGGAGTCTTAGTCAAGTTTCAGTATTGATGGTGTGCCAGCAGCCAGAGGCCTTGAACCAGATCAACAACTAATTGCAAGTAGAGTTAAGTGGACAGAAGGGTCTGCTGCATGACACACCAATCCCAAAGCCACTAAGACGAATGAAGAGGTGCTGGAGAGGTGGGAAAGATGGAGGAGCAAAGTGGGGTTTTGGTTTCTTTGTTTTGTTTTGTTTTTAATTAATTTTTTTTACATTTTTTTTGGGGGAGGATGCTACAGGGATGAGGGACTAATATTGAGGAACTGGGAAATGAGAGGGGTTGGGGTGCATGATGTAAAATTCTAAAAAAAAAAAAATCAATAAAAAATTATGTTTAAAGAAGGAGGTGAAGAGAACCTAAGGGACTAGTTAGAGGTCACCTTGAGATTCATTGTCTAAAAGAGAAGGGAGGGCAAAGAGGGGGGAGGGGAGGGCAGAGAGCCAGGCAGCACTGAGCAGGCCCAGCCAGTACTTCCCCAGATCATCCTCCAGAACCGCTTTCCCAGGATCACAGGAACCATCTCCATCAGGGATTTATTGCTCTCAGGCAAGCTTTCTGTGGAAAAGAAGTCATGTAAGGGCAGCATAAAAGGTTATTGATTATCATTGGTCCATTTTGTGCTAGGTACTTAGATAAAAGAGAAAGAGAAAAACATAAATAATCTCTAAATTTACTTCTGCAGAAAGAAATGGACCAAATACCAATATGGCACCTTCCCAGCATAGACCGGTCCTGGCACTCATTAAAATTCAAAACAGTGATCTGAGCATGTCCTGGAAGGAACTGCCCAGAGTCTCACTAATGGATCTTGCCAGGCTCCTTTTCCAACTCTAGCAGAGGTTCTCTGAAGGAAGAGGGAAGAAAGTGTATACGAGAACCATTTACAAGGCTTGTTAACCTAGTTCCTTGGGCCATCCCAACAGGTTTGGGCCAAACCAATGATGTACATTGCTAGCAAGTCCCCAGGTGTTTGAGCACTCCCCAGATGCAGCTATATTAAAATAGCACAGGCTGATAATTTATAAACAATGGGAACTCATTTCTCACTGTTCTAGATCAGATCTAGTCCAAGTCCAGATTAAGTCCAAGATCAAGATTGGATCCTGCACAACTTGAAGAGTTCTGTAGAGCTCATTATGCTTAGACTTCATCCTGAGTGGTCCTGTTTTCCCAGGAGTAGTTCCCACCTCCTGGATAGTTTTGGAGGCCAGAGAGGGAAGTGAGGAGAGCTGAGTATTATCCAAGCATTTCCAATATTCTTTAGGCAGCACTCTGGGGCAGGTAGCATTGTTCCATTGTCAACATGATGAAACTGAACTTAGGAAAAAGCTATTACCTACCCAAAAATTGGCCAGCTGTCATGTGATAACATAGGTCTAGCTAGGCATGTGGTGCATGCCTTTAATCCCAGCACTCAGGAGGCAGAAGCAGACAGATCTCTGAGAACTCGATGACAGCCTGGTATATATAATGTGTTCCAGGACAGTCAGGGCTATGTAGAGAGCCCCTGTCTCAAATAAATAAATAATTAAGACCTGAGGTTTGACCCCCATGAAAGGAATCCAGGGTGGAAAGTAAGGTCTCCAAACAGACACAAAACAGGCCAGAGTACCCCAGAGGGTTCATGAAGCAGAGGGGTACACTCATGGAGTGACTGACATTTATTTGACACACCCCCTCCCAAAATGCACCATCAACATCTTATTTTCTTTCTTCATGATCTAGGAAAGGATGTTCTTAGATGCTAGTCTACAGGCACAGCTTACAGAGAAAGCAGTATTGGGGCAGGGAAAGCCTGGAAATAAATTTGCCACCCTCATTTTGTGGGGCTATCTTCATGGAGGATGCTATTAGAAGTCTAAGATGAACAAAAGCAAGGCCATTGTACCACGCACAACAGAAATACACCCCAAACTCTCTTTTGGCTAAAATGAGTAACAGCTACATTACCAATTACAGCCCCATCCATTCCTTTCTCCCCTGTTGTGGTCATCTCCTGAGATGCCCAATTACAGAATCACTCCAGCTTTCTCACAATAGCCAATCTACAGCCCATCCAATATCCCCGAATCATCCAAGCAAACTCCAATTTTCTGTCCCTCCTAACACCTGTCCACTAAGATTCCCCATGATTCCCCATGCCCTGTGTTCTCTACCACTGAAACAGATGGACCCCAACTTGCTCAACAGGAGAGTGATTTTGGTAGTCTCAACAGGGGACATGGGACACTGGCAGTGTCCATTCTGTTGGCTCTGTTTGAAGGGGTAGGGCAAGCCTACTGCCTTTTTGGAGAAGCATGTCAGGAAGAGGACCAGGGAAGGCACTGCAGATTGTGAAGGAGGATTTCAAAAGGAAAGACACTGGTAGGGTATGTTAGGATGGGGGTCCTGCCCAGACACTTATTCCATCTTCCAACACAGTTGGCTGCCAAGAACATACAGGGCACTGTTGGCACTGGCTTTGGTTTGAGGCAATAACTAGGTGAGGAAAAAAAACACAACAAAACAACTCTATGCCAATATAGTGAAGAGTAGATGACACAGCGGCCCCCTGTTCTGAGCTACCAAGATTGCCTCTTCACCAATCAGTCTACAAATGTAGCTGAGTGTACATACAACCTTAATCTTGAGTGTAGGGGCTCAGGACAGACTGAGGGACTGTGTGGCTATCCAGGAAACCCTCTGCTTTCCAGAGAAAAACTGGTCAGCACCCTGCTATCATTGGCAGAAGTAGCTCTGAGCTTCTGACCCAAGACAGCACATCTCTAGGCTGGCTGCCAGTGTCTCTGTGGATCAGGGATGACAGGGTGTGATGCATCTATTCTGGTTCTTTCTTGGGGCACTTGGCAGCAAAATAGATGAAAGGCAGTATAAGCATATTTGTTCCCTGTGGCTGTTGTAATGAACTACCACAAGCTGAGTGCTTTGAACACTATAAATTTATTGTCTCACAGTTGTAGAAGATAGAAATTGGAGGTAGAGCTATTAATATTAACCAGTTTCTTGTTACTACAATGAAACACCTGTGCAGGCTACTTCACAGTGGAAAGATGTCCACTCAACCCACAAGTCTGTAGACCAGAAGTCCAAGCAGCATGACCCAGTCTCTGGCAAGGAATCACACACACACACACACACACACACACACACACACACACACACACTTGGTCACATTTGTATCACATCATAGCAGGACCATGTTATATATCTCTAGAACTTTCCTTTTCATGATAAAGTCGCCAGGGAGTAAGGTAACCCAGATCCAGAAAGACAAATATTCCAGGTTCTCACTCATATGTGGATCCTAACATAGACTCTTTGATTAGTAAGTTTGATTTGGAGTACCCCTAGCATCTAGAAAACTCGAAAAGGACCATGGGTGGAAAGAGGAAGAAATAGTGTAAGGAAAGGGGGATAGTACCAGGTGACAGTGGCGCACGCCTTTAATCCCAGCTCTCAGGAGGCAGAGGCAGGCGGATCTCTGTGAGTTCGAGGCCAGCCTGGGCTACAGAGTGAGTTCCAGGAAAAGGCGCAAAGCTACACAGAGAAACCCTGCCTCGAGAAACCAAAAAGAAAGAAAGAAAGAAAGAAAGAAAGAAAGAAAGAAAGAAAGAAAGAAAGAAAGAAAGAGAGAGAGAAAGACAGAGAGAGAGAGAGAGAGAGAGAGGAGAGAGAGAAAGAAAGAAAGAAAGAAAGAAAGAAAGAAAGAAAGAAAGAAAGAAAGAAAGAAAGAAAGAAAAAAAGGAAGAAAGAAAGAAAGCGAGCAGGGGGATAGTAGAACACAGTCGATGTGAAAGGGAAAGGGGAATAGTGGAAGAGGTTTAAATGGGGAGAGGGGGTGGGAGTAGAAGGCGAAGGAGGAGGTTGGGCATAGGTAACTAATACTAAGCATGTTTGAAACCATCCATCAAGAAACCGGTTGTTTTATAAACTCCCTGAGTATACACATTTAATTTTTTTTCATGTAAGAGTTTAATTGGAGTTGCCCTACATAGGGGATTATATCATCCCAGAAGCCACAAGTGGCCAAATCAAAAGCCAGTTCCAGGTATGGGATACCTCCCCTCGAGTTATTAATTGGTGGTATCCTGGGACACACACACACCCAACAATAAATTCTTGTTTGCCCACAAGAACTGAATAATGAGACTTTATTGATGAACGCACCACACACATTGGTCACAGGCTGTGGAGAAATCAAGCTGGTATTGACCAGAAGCTTCCTCCTGCTGGTTAGCTTTTACAATACTAGAAGGTGCTATTCAGGGAGCATGGTAGGAGGTACATGTGATCAAAATACATTGTATGAAATTCTCAAAAAATTAATGACATTGTTTTAAGAGAAGAAACAAATAGAGTCACCAAGGTTCAGTCAGGAGGGCTCCCTCCTAAGAATCTAATCTAACCTAATCTCTACCCTCAAAACCCAGAAGACATTCCCATCCTTTTAACACCATTAGCATAAAACTGTGGACGTTAAACTCCTTCCTGGACTGGAAGGAAAGATAAATCCTACTCAAACAATAGCAACCTTTACAGACAGGTTCCCTCTGAGGGATCTCAGGGAAGGATCCATTCCAGGGCTTCTCTCCTCAGTGTGTAGCTAGCTATCATGACATGACATTTCTCTGTATGCCTAGCTCAGTGTCTAAATTTCCCATTTTTATAAATTCACCAGTCATGTTGAGTCATGGTCTGCCTCTCTGCAGAGACCCCATTTCTAAAGAGATTACACTCTAAAGTCAGCCGGAGGGAGGACTTCCACATATGACTTTGGGAATGGAAGAAATACAGTTCAACCTGTCACAGTGAGAAAACAGAGAATCCAAGAAGACATTCAAGACACCATCTTGGAAAGTCCTATTCCAGCCTCATGTGTCCATGAGCCCCCTAGAGACCTACAGAATGCAACTCTACTGAGAAGGTCTGAGGTGGGGCCCAAAGTCTGTTTCCAAGACGCATGGGTTTGGATGCTTACATAGCTGGGACAGAAAACATATACAGAGCTCTGAGGCAGAAAGACATGTCTTAGGGTGTCTGGTGTCCCCTGAAGAGGATTATAGCAAACAGAAGGACTGAGTGGCTCCCTTAGCTTCTTAAGGTACGTGTTGTGAATCCTCACTATACTTGGAAACTTGAAAACCTTGGTCATCCTCTCTCCTCCTAGAACTCTGTTTGCCTGGTCTGGAGTAGACTTCAGTGTTTTAAAAAGCTCCCCAGGTAACTATCTTTGTTTTTGGAGATCCCTCTCACAGCCCACAGCTTTATATTCTAACAACTTTACCTGCTAACAAGTGACTCTTAATTCCATGGATGTTAACCCATTGGTTTCAATGGTGGGAAAGTGTCTTTGAACAGACAAGTCTTTTGTTCTTCAAATAACAATAGCATGGAGTCATTCCATGATTTGTAAGAGTATCATTGCCAAGCAGTTTGGAGTTGAGGCAAGGCCTACAGTGCCACATCCTTTACAAGAGTAGAGAAATGTCCCCTGTATCCAGGGAAGCACTGAGCACTATTTAAGGCAAGAACAGCTCCCACCCTATGCACACAGCACTGTGATACCCTGTAATGGTGCTTTAACAGAAGGTAGACGGCAGCATGAGAAGGGCCTTCCGCCAGTAGTTCTGGGGCAATGAGACCCAATAGGCCACTACCAAGGGCAGGTGCTTGCAAACCATCAGATGTGCTGGGAATTCCCCAAGTGCAAGGTCATTGTGTTGGCAGCAAAGGGAAAAAATTAGGAACAGGTAAAATAGGAGAGTGGTTTTTTTGGATGGTGGTATAAAGAAGAAAGCTTTTGTTTAAATCTCATAAGCTTAGTATGGTGACCTATATCTATAATCTCAGCACTCAGAAGGCAGAAATGGCAGGGGGAGGGGGGGAGTGACTTCCACACCAACCTAGGCTACATAATAATATCCAAAAAAATCAAGCCAAAACAACCACCACAAAAGAGTGTGACAATCTGAAAGAACACCACCAAAACGTACTTTCTTAACGATGCTGACTTCCAGTTTGTCTGAGTAGATGATATTCACTATGGTTTGAAAAGGTCTCTCAAAGTTTCTATACTGGAAATATAATCCCCACTTCAACAATACTGAGAGGGGCCTAATGTGAGGAGATTCAGCATCTAGGGAAGGGCTGAGGAGGCCATTGTTGCAGGAATGGACTAGTTCTCTCCACACTGGCTTTTTATAAAAGCATCCCCCTCTTGCCCTTTCAGCCTTCATACACAAGTTCTTCCCTCTTCCCACCTTCCTCTAAGCAGGACAGACTGTGGTACCGTTGAAGGAGATGTCCATGCATCTATCCCAATGCCCAGTCCGGTGATTGCTCACCAAGCAGCACAGAAAGTACTTGGTGAGTGAGCATCAAGTCTCCAGGTCTTGAAGGTCAAGTTCTTACCATGGAGAATGTGCCTTGATTTACTTCCTGCCCCATTGGGTACCACAGTGCTGTGTGCACATCGTGACAGCTGTTCTTGCCTTGAGCAGGCTCTGGTAATTATACTTTACAGGTTGTGCTTTTTAACAGAAGGGTAGGTGGGAAGGGTGAGAGTAGTGGCTATGGGGACCAGGAGGAGCAGTCATCTTTGACCTTGACTCTTCTCCCTTGGAAACAGTCTAGGTTCCAGCAGTGCAGCCACCGACGTCCCTGGACACCACTGAGCTCAGAGCTGCAAGCCGCCTTTGCAGAGTGGAGTCTTCCTGAGAAGCCTGAAGTATCCTTGTCGACACCTCCTCTGTCTCACACATTTAGCTGCACATTCCCACGCAGCACTACCCCCTAGGCACCCAATTTGCCCTCAGATGACCCTGGAAAGTGTTGCTTCCTACCAAGAGAAGTAGGGCATACTTTTACCCCAGGCAGGCACCCTCAGGCCAGGCCTGCACATCCCAAATAGATTTCAAGAGCACAGCAGATGTGTGGAGAGTGATTAGTAACTAGATGTTGGCACAGCTCAGCTGCCAAAGTTGAAATCTATTCATAATAATCAGCTAGTTCTTGTTGAGTATTCACAGGGAGCTGGGGCTTTGCTTGGTCCCACTGCCAGAGGCACAAGAGACACATGAGGTGGTTTCCAGACTGGGGTACAGTTTTCTTCTTACCTGAGGTGACAAGAGTAGTACTAAGGACAACATGCAGAAATTACATCATACAACAATCTATCTGCATGCTAAAGATACAACAGAATAGGAGCAGGAAAATGATGCGGAACAGGGCTAGGTAGAGAAGATAAGCAGAAACCTGGCCAGGTGGATAACAGAAAGAGGGGTTGCATCACTATCAAAGTTACTGTTGGAGCAAAGGTACAGGGATGCAAACAAGCATATTGTCTAATTGGACCACAAGGAGCTTGGCTGGCTCACAAACAGGGTGTGCTGGAGCTGAGCAACAGAGTCACTGACTTGTTTGGGCCTCACTGATGGTAAAGTTGGAAAACTTTGATGCATCGGGCTTTAGGCTGGAGTCTGAGTGATCAACTTACTCAGCAAACCAGACAGGCCAGATGCTGCAGGGGCAGCAGCAACCAGAGAAGAGCATGGCAGGCACATGGAACACTGCTGCAGGACCAGGCTGAAGAAAGAATAGCTCCTAAGAGAATGGTAGGATATGGTAAATAGGGGCTGGGGCCAGAAAAGCAGCTCACTGGATGAGAACAGGCTTAGCTTGTATGGGGGAGAAAGCTACTGGAGACTGTCCTTCGCCCCAGGCAGTAGCACTCTGCAGAGTTTCCCTCTGCCTACAAGGCAGAGAAGTCAAGGAGGTGGAAGCTGGGACATCCTGCTCTGTCTGGTTCAAGGCCTGCTCTACAGCCCCTTGAGCAGCCTCCACATCCCTTTGAGCAGCCATGCAGCTCGGTTTGTGCTTGCTTTAGTCCTCTGCCTCTGTGACAAGGGGTTGGTGAGAATACCTCTCAGAATCAATTTGAAAAGTGGCTGAAAGCTTAGAGCACATTATAAGAACACAGCTCTAACCTACCATTAGCATTCCTCCTGGGTAGTATTCCTTTCCATATGAACAAAGGAGTGCTGGAGAGATGTCAGAAACTGTTAATAGAAAGCAAGAGAATAACTTTTCAATAAACAGACTTTTAAATAGAACTTTTTCACTTGGGTATTGAACCTTTCTATATCTGTTCATTTTGTTGGGGGTTGAACCCAGGACCTCATGCATGCTAGGCCAATGCTTTCTCACCAAACTACATTCTTAGACCCTTATCAGGCTATGAGCCAGAGTCTTACTATGTTCCTCAGACCAGCCTCAAACTTTTGTACTCAAATGATCTTCCTGCCTTCGCCTCTTGAATAGCTGGGATTAAATGTGCCATTATAGTTTGAATCTTCAACGTTCCCCCAAAGACTTCTGTGCTAAAGGTGTGGTGAACAAGCCTACGGCACAATTAGGAGTTGGTGGAACCTTTAGAAGTGGGGCCAACTGAGAGAAAGCTGGGTTACTAAGGCATGCCCTTGAAGTGATACTGGGAACCTAGGCACTTCTTCTCTTTGCTTCCTGACTGCCATGAGGTAAGCAACTGTGTTCTCACACATGCTCCCTGCCATGCCATTCCACCTTGCCATAGCTCCCATAGCCAAGCAGCCATGGATCAAAATAAACCTCTCCTTTTTTTTAAGCGGTTGCTATCACATACTCTATTACAGTATCAGAAAGCTAAGAGTAGTACATACCACTGAACCTGGTTTTCCATGTGTATTTCAAAAGTACTTTTGTCTGTCATGTCTGAAAGATTTTGAAATCTCCCTTTTATAGATATATACAGTTATCTAAGGCTTGTACATACATATGCACATATTCTATGTCTCTTTTCTCTCTCTCCTCTCCTCCCTCCCTGCTTCCCTGACTTTTGTCCTTGCTTGCAACATGTGGTATATGTGCCATGTTAACATAAGCATTTCCAGGGACTTTCGTTATGACTCTATTGCTCATTTGCATTGAACTAGATAAGCATTTGAATTAATGTGTAAGTTAACCTTAAATCAGGGTGCAGTGCAAACCCATCAGCAATGTTATATTTATATGAACTTATATTTCCATCAATGGTGACGATAAAAAACAATCTCAAGGCAAGCCCAGACTTGAAATGCTTTGAATATATTGTAATACATTAATTCCGTGGAGGCTTTCGAGGCGGCCTCATCAGGCGTTTGGAAATCATTTATCTTAAATGAGGCTCTGTAATGTATGAGGGCATTAAGAGCGGCAGTCAATTATGCCGACTTCATGTTTTACATTAAAAAATAGGAAGCATCGTAATTCCTGTTGGGGGTGAGGGCATTTTTCTAATCCCATAATTAGCTCTCTAGGCATCCAAAAAGAACATTTCATTCTGGTCTTTGGAATAGCCACCTCTTTTTAAAGTCGGGTAATGTATGCGTTGGCAGACACAAAGACCAAAATAGACCAAGTGGTGCCTTCCCTGGTACCTTTAGGTGATGAGATATGGGAGAAAGGAACAAAAACAAGGAAGATGTGGATGGCATTTATGGCAATGAAAATTTGTCAGCAGCCCCCACCCCAGCCCTGCATGTGTGCGTACACACACACACACACACACACACACACACACACACACACACACACAGAGTTAAGTCATTCCACCTCCTCCTACATAACCCAAACTATGTGAGGGATTCTGTGCCAGGCTTTGGCAGCACAGAGAATAATCAAAGGTCCTCTCTATCCTCAAGAACTTCATTGTCTAGTGAAAGGGATAGCACAATCATGTAATTATGATGCAATGCCAGATGTAGATTTCAGAAAGGAAAATGTGCTCTTAGGACCTGCCCACACACAATGCTGCAATGCAGGAGTGTCCAGCAGAAACCCTTAGCCAGCCGTAAGCTTGCCTCAGCTTTTTTTGTATCTAAGATGAAGCATGGAGGTCTCTGTTCTCTGTGACTCAAGCTATGATCTTGGAGACTCACCAGCTGGTAATAGTTTCTTGGCAAAGCATTTGTGTGCACCTGAGGGCACTCATTCATTCATCAAACACCCCTTTAGTGTAAGTCACCGGTGTTAGTTCCCACAAACATACAAGATTGACAGCATGGTAGTTTGGGGTCTAGGTATTTAACTGTGCTATGGCATCTAGAGTTAATGATTCCAAACTGATGGACAGCAAATAAGCATTCTACATGGAAATGGAAAAATAAGAGCCTAACAGTTGACTACCAGAGCTCTGAGAGTCTGGGATAAGATCATCTAGTCCATAATTTGGTTTCTGATGCTGTGATAAAAAACACTAACTGTGGTAAAACTCTTTACAACTCATGGTCACAGTCCATCATTGAGAGATGTCAGGACAGGAAGTCAAGCAGGAAGGTAGAATCAGGAACTGGAGAAGATACTATAAAAAAACACTGTTTACTGACTAGCTCTCCATGGCTTGCTCAGCCTGCTTTATTATATAATCCAGGACCACCTGCCCAGGGATCAAATAGACTGTTGTTCCTGGTTCTAGAAGAGAGGCCAAAGAGGTACATGCAGTGTGAAAGGAAAGAACAGAATAGAACAAGTGCACCCCAGAGTCAGAAGAGGATCAGTTCATCCTACAGATGTCTGACTCTGTGGTAGGGACCTTGCTGAGCTCTGAGGTATGTCCTAGGCAAGGCAGAAATGAAGCTCCCTCCCAATGGCCCTTCCATCTACTCCATGATGAAGTCCAAGCTCTCCAATATGGTGTAGGTGGCCCACAAGGGTGTCAGGACCTAGCAGATATGGTAGCATTTTGCTCTTTTTATGTTCAACACCTCAAGCAGTCTCTCCCTTGTGGGTTGCTGGATACACATATGGCCAGAATATACTGACCACTGCCTTGGTTCATTTTCTCTTGCTGTAACAGAATAAGTGGGACTAAATAATTTATGAACTTATTTCAACTCACTGCTCTGGAAGTCCATGAGCACAGCTTCTGAAAAGAGCCTTATGCTGCCCGGAGTCATGGTAGAATGTGGAAGGGCAAGTGAGCAAGCAGATTCAGAAGAGAGGACTTATAAGGACAGATCACTTTTAGACAAAGACATGGGCAGCTTACCACTCTTCTGGTATGGAGAACTCATTGCCATGATTTGACATTAGGGCTCTGTTCCATGACCCCGACTCTTGCCATGAGGTCCCATTGAGTAAGTTTCATTAAGGGAGTAAGCTTCAATATGACTTTTGATGGAGGTGAACCATTCAAGGCACAGCATCTATTTTAAAACTCTTAGCAATCATATGAGGGTTGTGTCTACAGGTGACTCCATAAACACTCTAAAAGGTGAGTCTCAGAAGTACAGCGTTTGCCTACCACATTCACATGTAAGGCCCTGATTCTGTCCCCAGCATTGCTGTAAGTAAACAAACAAAATTATACTGGGCTATAATGGTTGGTAATAAAGGGCTGCAAACAGTATGTTTTTGTAGAAGGAGTCCCTGATACTGTGGAAACACAAGTTGTGATGCCGTGATATCAAGTTGGCAATGATTGATGGTGCATGCACATGGGGTTGGGAGAAGGTCACTCTATCTGCCAGGATCTCTGCTAGAGATGTTTCACTGAAACAACTCTTGTGCAAATAGGTGTGGGCAGGGTTGGGCAAACAAATAAAGGTTATGGTATAATAAAAATATACTTCCCAGGTTCCAGATACAGAATTCCTAATGCCTTTGGAATTTCCTGAGTGATGAGAAAACCATGTTATTCACAGCAAGTCCTCATAGCAATTCATATGCTAATGAATTGAGTGTTGGTGAACCCCTAGGTGACTTCAGGGTGGGGAGAGCAGCCCACAACATGATAACAGTTGGAACTTTAGCACCCTCATCCCCAACCACTGAGGATATGCCAGGGGCCAATGAGCCAACCAATAGTTGATTCCATTAAAAGTCTGGGAAATGAAGCTTAAGGGAACTTCCTGTTTGGTGAACATGTTGATATACCCAGTAAGTGATGCACCCTGACCCCATGCAGACAGTGGAAACTCCACTTGAGACCTCTATAGACCTTGTCTCCTGCAGCTCTTTATTTGGCAGGTCCTGGCTTGCATGCTTCCTAGTAAAAATGAATTTGTAAGCTTAGCGCATTCCTGAATGCTTTGAGTCACTCCAGTGAACCACAGAACCAGTGGAAGGGGCATAGGAACTTCAGTTTGTTTCCCTCACCAAAGAGTAGGTTTGGTGTAGAAAGAGCAGGTAATGATGATGCAACTCTCCTTGTATCCCCCTTCTCTTCTGCCTGTGCTTGCTCACTTACCTTTCCACATTCTACCATGACTCGGGCAGCATAAGATTCTCATCAGAAGCCATGCTTGTGGGCCAAAGTGGTTTATCTGGGGACTCATGACTGACAGTTGAAATGGAGGTGGCCTCAGTAGACAGAGTCCCTTGCATTGTGTGGTCTATGCTGCCTTTAAGAAGTGTTGGGATTGAATGGAAGTGTAGGACACCCAGTTAAGTTCTCACAAGCAGAGAACGTTGGGGGAGGAACATAGTGGTGCTTAAGACCCACAGATTCTGGCAACAATGAAAGCTGTTACCACTTCCAGAGGTAGGGGGACAAAAAGGGGAGACAAGGAGGAAAACTTCTGCAACCAGGAGAAACAGAAATCTGGAGACTAACCCCACATGGGCCCTCACCAAGTGTAGAACTAGCAGGAGCTGCGTTCCCTGGTGACATGCGAAACGGAAATGATTGGCAGTCCATACTACAGAGAAAAGAAATGCTTCAGGGCTTCGTAATCACTTGACTGGATTTGGAATCAACTAGGGGATACAACTCTGCTTATGTCTGTGAGGGTATTTCCAGAGAGGTTGGTTTGTTTTTTGTTTTTTGTTTTTTTTTTTTTTTTAGATTCATTTATTTATGCATTGTATGTATATGGGTGCTTTGTATGTACACCAGAAGAGGACATCTGACCCCATCATAGGATAGTTGTGAGCCACCATGTGAGTGATGAGAATTAAACTCAAGATCTCTGGAAGGGCAGTCACTGTCCTAAATCACTGAGCCAGCTCTCCAGCCCCCTCCAGTGAGTTTTTACTGAGCAGGGAAGACCAATCCTGAAGCTCAGCACCAGTATTTATCTATCTCTGCTTCATGACTGTGACCAGCTGCCTCCTATCCTGATGTCAGACCCTCTCTGCTATGATGGACAGTGGAAGCCAAAATACATTATTGGCACTGAACCTTCCAACTGAGGAGCCAAGATAAACCTGTCCTTCCTTTCTTAAGTTGCTCTTGTCAGGCATGCTATCACAACAGTGAGAAAAGTGATCAATGCAGGGCTGGACAACAGCTTGGGGAAATGGTTAAACCACAGAAGTAACTGATGTTATAAGCATATATTTGGCCAAAACAAGTCTTGAGCTATTTATAAACAAAGCAGCCACATGACATGTTTGTAAAATGTGCACAACACATCATGACCCAACTCCTGCTAACCCTGACAGTACGATGATGAGGGGTGCTAGATGGTAAATGAGGGCTGTCAGATTGGGCAGCAGAAGGATGACAGGCACATGAGTGAGATAGCAGACAGCGGGCACTCTAAAAGTGTTAGCACCTGCAGATGGGAGCATGTAAACCCCACAGAAAGGGTCAGAAGGCTGGCTCAGGAAAGCAGGCCAGTAATGAAATGTGATAGACCATAGGGAACATCTATAGCCTCTGAAAATTTTCAAAATATTTTCCAGAATGTTCTTTTATAAAAGACTATGAACAGCCGGGCGGTGGTGGCGCACGCCTTTAATCCCAGCACTTGGGAGGCAGAGCCAGGCGGATCTCTGTGAGTTCGAGGCCAGCCTGGGCTACCAAGTGAGTTCCAGGAAAGGCGCAAAGCTACACAGAGAAACCCTGTCTCGAAAAACCAAAAAAAAAAAAAAAAAAAAAAAAAAAAAAAAAGACTATGGACAATACATACACACAAAGTACACATATGACTTATGTGGCCAAAAGAGACTCTCACCAGGGCCTGCACAATGCTGCTTAGAAGTCTGCCTTTAAAACTGTGAGATAAATCTTCTTTCTCAGAGAGAGATAAAGAGAGAAAGAATAAATTTAAAAGAAATTTCCAAAGAAGATGCTTGAGGAAGTGATGGTATTTCTGAAAGTGGGATAGGAATACCCTTCAGAGGTGATTTAGATAAATCAGAAAGTAGAAACAAAAGAAACAACACAGAATAGTAGTAAATGGCCACAACCTATTACACCAGACCAGAGCACAGTCCAACAACTAGGAAGAAGGGTATTATGTTCCATTGCTTAACATACTACCATGTTTGTCCTTGAGAAAATTTCAAGGACATTAGTGAGCGTCCCCCCTCCCCCAAAAAACTATCAGAGACTAGTGTTGTGGAATATTCCTTTACATTGTGTGAAGATGTGTCACTGTGATTTGTTTAATAAAGAGCTGAATGGCCATTAGATAGACAGGAAGAGGTTCGGTGGGACTTCTGGGAACAGAGAGCTCTGGGAAGAAGAAAGGCGGGGTCTTGAGCCAGATGTAGAGGGAACAGGATATGCAGGAAGAGAGTTAAAAACCATGAGTCACATGGCAACACGTAGATGAATAGAAATGGGTTAATTTAAGTTATAAGGGCTAATGGGACAAGCCTAAGCTATAGGCAAACCTTTTATAACTAATAATAAGTCTCCATGTCATTTTTTTTGTGAGCTGGCAGCCCAAAGAAAAATCTGTTTACAAATGGCACCCAATGTGGGGCTGTTTAACAACCCTTGTGGAAGAATTTTCCACTGATACCTTTCAATGGGCTTGGAATTGTAAGTAGGCACCGTCAAGGCAAATTTTTCTCTATTCTGGTCTTGTAAAGGTATAGTAAAAAAGCAGTCTTTTAAATTAATCACTATAATAGACCATTTTTTAGGTAATAGAGAAGGCAAGGGAATTCCAGGCTGTAAAGAGTCCATTGCCTGAATCACCTTATTTATGGCTCTTAAATCTGTTAACATTCTCCATTTTACAGATTTCTTTTTAATGACAAATATAGGAGAATTCCAAGGACTGGTCGATTCTTCAATATGTTGAGCATTTAACTGCTCCTGTACCATCTGTTCTAGTGCCTGTAATTTTTCTGATGTCAAAGGCCACTGTTCCACCCAGACAGGTTTGTCAATTAACCATTTTAAAGGTCAGGCTGTTGGTACTTTTGAAAGATCATCAACTGTTGTGCCCTGCATACATACAACCTGAACAATCTGTGACCGTTCTTAATAATCTTTTAATATTTCTCTCAGAAGCATTTTTTATTTTGTGGTTTGTTTCTGAGATTTGAGGAATGTTAATCTGTGTTTTCTATTGCTGCAACAAATCACAATTTAGATGCCAAGATCTCAGTGAAATTATTGTTACATCTGTCCCTGTGTCTACCAGACCCTCAGTTTCCACTGCCATTTATTTGCATTTTAAGCTTTGGTCCCTGATCATTTATAGCAGTCTGCTATAAAAAACTTGTTTTATAGTCTCTCCTGAAAATTTTGTTTTATCTATTGAAGCTGTTCTGTCATCCATAGCTGTATGATTTTTAACAACAGGCATTAGGCCCTTTAATTGCTCTGTGGAGGAGTTTCCCCCATGCAGACAAGAAAGAATTAAACCAAATTTGACATTGGGGCTGCAAGAGGCCCCCCTTCAATATGTTTCCCAATGGCAAAGTGTTATCTTGCCTGTCCCTTGTTGATCTGCATTCGTTAGTCCAATGTTGGCCTTTGGCATACCTTCTGTATACTTCAGAAGGCTAGGGCCTTCTATTTGCATTATCTCTAGAAAAAAAAAAATTTCTAGGAATGCATTGCCAACAATCCCTTTTCAGATGACCTTATTTACCACAATAAAACATCTGAAATTCTGATTTTTTTCTTAAAATTTCTAGAAATTGCTTCTATCAAAGCAGCATCATAAGCATGAGATCTAATAACAGCCATATCTCTAATCTATTTATCTATGGATGCTGGTCTTCCCTTTAAATACCTAATCACCTTTTCCATTCTGAATTAGCATTTTCAAAAGCCAAGAATTCAATTAATATTTGTCTAACTTCTGGATCTGATATCATTCTATTTACAGCTGAAGTTAATCTTTGCGAAAAATCAGTGAGGGTTTCTTTTGAGGCCTGTATAACTTTAATAAATGACTCAGCTCTCTCTCTTGATTCTTCAACCCTTCCCCAAGCATTTAAATCTACTGTACAGCATAGGACCAATGTATGATCATCAAATGTAGACGGTCTTTGCAAATCAGCATATTGGTATTCACCAAGAAGTTGATCTTGGGAAATTTCAATACCTCTAGCCCTACTTCATTGTCCTATGACTCTAGCTTCCTCTCTCCACCATGTTTTTCATTGTAACTGAGGACCAGCTTCCAATATTACTGTAACTAAATTTTTCCAGTCTTGTGGAATAATCCTGTTCCAAGTTGCTTATGAATTTAACATCTGCTTCACAAAGGATGAATGCATACCATATGAAACAACTGCTTCCTTAAATTTTCTCAAATATAACATTTCTATAGGATCCAAATTAACTTCTGTATAGCCTTGGAGGTGTCTATCATCTGGTGGTAATTCTTGTATGACAACTGGGTAAATTAAGATTGTTTTTTAAATAACCTTATGCAACTCCTCTTCAGTTTCATAATGCAATGGAACAATAGGTTGTGCTCTAAATTCCTCTGTCTCTGTCTGAGTATTTTTCTTATTTTCATTAGTAGGTATTTTTAAGGCTTGTACCTTATCAGTAGTAAATTTTTTTTAAAGCTTGTATCTTATCAATAGTAGGTTCTTCTGAGTCTTGTATTTCATCAGTCAGATTTTTCTTATTTTTATTAGTAATGAAAGTAATAAAAGTCTTTCTAAGGTTTATATCTCATTAGTTAAATTATCATATTTGACACAGTTATCAGACCATTTTAGGATAAAATATGAATTACCAAACTGATAATAATTATGATTGACATTATGTCAAACCCAGCTGTTTATTCTCTCATTTATTTTTTTCATTTGCAAGCTATTCATTGTAGCAATAAACAGGACCCTGCATTGTGATCTTCCTGAATCTTAACATGGGAAAGATCCTCCCCCTTTTTTTTAATATCCTAATTACCCATTTAAAAATTCCCAAGTTTCTTACCACATCTGATGATGCTGACAGTGTAGGTGAAGATGTTCTTGAAAGCTATTTAGGACAATAAAAAAATACAGGCTAATGGTTAGTCATCTATAACAAACTTATAGTCATGTTAGGTATGCTTTCAAGGTCATACAAAGATATATTTTAGATACATAGGTGATCTTCAAACACTTCAGAGACCTACAGAATATCGCATTTAAAATGTTGTAATAATATAAGGCTTTTTATGACAGCGAGATATATCTACTCCTGACAGTACCAAATTACTTCAAAAAAGAATGATGGACATCAAAGAAACTCCAATTGGAGTTTACTTCCTTTGTAGCAAAATCTAGCCACTGGACAAGAAACTGCCCTTGCCTCAACTGCTTGACAGTATGCTGTCCAAACTGGACAAGCAGTACACAAAAGGGTGGATAGTCCTTCAGAATTCCTGCTTGATAGAAAAGTCTGCCAGATCTTCTAGGCCTGTAGGCCAAAGATGGATGTCCCTACATTGCAGAGGAAACTGTCCAGGTGGCCAGATATCTCTGACATTTTGGAAGTGGTTTGCACTGCACTTCCTGTTTACTCATGTAGTAGTGTATCTTTCTGGGGTCTTTGATGGAGTTGAAGACTAGGTAGTTATAGTTGCCATTTTCCTTAGTTATGATAGAAGGTAAATTAGGTACAGAGCTTTGGACTCGTCAAGATAGAATAAATAATGGAGTATTTTCTCTGAATATGTCAAATACAAATGGACTGGACATTATTAATGTGATTACCTGATAATTGCTTTTATTGTTTATAATTTTATTATGTTAGAGTTAAAATCTTTCTTTTCATTTAGACAAAAAGGGGGAAATGTTGTGGAATATTCCTTTACACTGTGTGAAGATGTGTCACTGACTGGTTTAATAAAGAGCTGAATAGCCACTGGCTAGGCAGGAAGAGGTTAGGTGGGACTTCTGGAGACAGAGAGCTTTGAGAAGAGGAAAGGAGGAGTTGAGAGCTGGAAGCAGGGAGACTGAGACATGCAAGAGGAGAGGTAAAAGCCATATGTCACATGGCAACACATAGATGAATAGAAATGAGTTAATTTAAGTTATAAGAGCTAGTAGGACAAGCCTAAAATATAGGCCGAGCTTTCATTAATAGTAAGTCTCCATGTCATTTTTTTATGAGCTGGTGGCACAAAGAAAAAATTTTCTACAGCCTAACAATCCAAGACCCCAGAAGTAGACAGTGAACTTGGGAACCAGAAGATTACATACTCAGAAGGGACTAAGCTCAGTGGTAAAATGCAAAGTCATGAGTTCGTTCTGGAGGGTGGGGATAATGGATGGAATAAGCAATGCTGAGTTTATAAGAATTGTCCAGTCCTTTGAGTAACAGCAGAAGAAGAAGACCACATCTATTAAGAGTCCTGTTTGTTCTGATAGGGACAATGCAGTTACAAGGACCCATAATATGTTCATTCTTCTCTATTTGTCCTATTATTTGCAAAGCCCTAAGTTACAGAGTGTATCTTTAAGATTTCTTAACATAATATAACCATAATAAAGTGATTGATAAATTATCTACATTCAATTTATTATCTCTGTTTAACAGATGAGACTGGAAATAAAGCTAAAGCAGTACCAACAATAACAAAACAAGCTAATGTCTTGGACAATCTAGTTACAACACATGTAAAGGATACAGGATGAGGATTAAGGATATAAAAAAAAACCCTACAACTTACTGGTTTTTTTAAATTAACAATTGAAAACAACAAACAGTTGACCATCACACAAAATGACCTTGACCCCTTTCTAAGTGCCCTGAACTATTTAGAGGTCTCTAGACAGTCTGATGACCACCCTCCCTCCATTGCTCACAGTTGAGCCTGTAGCAGTTTCATCACAAGAAGGATTCTTGACCTTGAAGGTCCTCAAGGCCTGCCTAGGCCTGCAAAATCACTGAGTGTCTTGGTGAGCCCCAAATCACTCCTGCATGCCCTCAAATCTAAACATGCTCCATACAACTGCTCCAGGTGCTTCTATCATTCCTACCCACTAAACCTTTTACCTAGATAACACTTACATCTCTGTCTGGATATAGTGCAAATACTGTCTAATCTCAGACTGCCCTGCACCAGATCAGGAGTCATCTGTGTGTGCCTATCCTAGTTACTTTTCTATTGCTGTGATAAGGTACCATGACCAAAGCAACTTATGGAAAACAGAGTTTCCTTGGGGCTTACAGTTTCAGTGAGTTAAAGTCCATGACCACCACAGCAAAGAGTATAGGAACAAGCAGACAGGCATAGCGCTGGAGCAGCAGCTGAGAGCTCATTTCTTTCTTTCTTTCTTTTTGGTTTGGTTTATTTTGTTTTGTTTTGTTTTGTTTCTTGAGCAGAGTTTCTCCATAACTTTGAAACTTGTCCTGGAACTCACTCTGTAGACCAGGCTGGCCTTGAACTCACAGAGATCTGCCTGTCTCTGCCTCTGGAATGCTGGGATTAAAGGCATGCACCACCACTGCTCAGTGAGAGCTTACTTCTTAGTTCACAAAAACAAAGCAGAGAAAGCTAACTGGAAATGGTGTGGGGTTTGGGAACCTCAAAGCCCATCCCCAGGGACGCATCTCTGCCAACAAGGCCATACTTCCAAATCTGTCCAAACAGTTCCACTCACTGAGAATCAAGTATTCAAATATGTGAGCCTATGTGGGCCAGACTCATTCAAACTATCCAAGTGGCATATACCGGCTTGTATTAAAAATGCAGCATTATCATTAGTTACTAAGTAGACTAGGACTGCTTGTTCAGTCCATTGACCTTGAACACAGGGGTGTCATGCCACCCCAATCCGTGGTACCAGGCACGAGTTCAATCAGTGCTTTGGGAATGAATCTGAATCCAGTTTTAGGACAATGGTCAGGCCATCAGCCACACTACAAATGTTCTCCTAGAGAATGGTCTCTGGTTGTGGAGCACTTTCCCACATGGAACTGATTAAGTCCTCATTGTCTTTTTAAGTTCTAAATCGAAAATAAATCGAATTGGTTTTTAAATTATGGGCATTAAAAGAAATGCACATGTTTAAAATTTTTACCAAAGTGCTATCCAAGATTTTGGCAGTTCTTAGTAAAGTGGTGCCAAAACTGTCTCCCTTTGAGAGACTCCCCTTCTTTGGAGTGGCCTTAGCCCTGTTGGAAGGCTTAATGGAAGGTTCAGAACACCTTAGACAAATACACATAATCTATACATCACTTCAAAGCTGTGAACACAAAATAGCAAATCTAGTTTAAAGGAAATAGAAAAATTGTTTATCCTGGACCAAATATGAGCGACACATTCAAGTTACTCAAAATGGATATGTTCCACTATGAACAAGGTTATGCGAACTGCTAAGTCACTAAACAAAAGAAAGCTATGAAACAATACATTTACCAAGGGGCTCCAGCAAAGCCTCCTCCCAGGTTTTAGATGCTATCTTAGAGCATTCTTAACTTTAGAATTGATGGAGGCTAGAAGTCTGCTGAGATTAATGATATGTTCCCAAGAAGTTTACCTATTAATTAGAAAATGTTAGATTACATATAAAAGTTAAACGAGTTGACTATTAAAAGGCCTAAGATAACCCAAGATAATTTGGGCACTTTTATATAATAATATAGAGAATGATAATAATAAACACTTTCATCATTTCTAGCTTGGCAAGCTCTTTCAATCTGAGTTAGTCTAGCATTTTAATTATGTTGCCAGAAAGAGAAAAGGGGCTGAAAAGTCTTCCTCATAGCCCCACAGCCCATCCCTAGTGAAGTCATTAACAAGCATTTACAGAAACCACCAACTTGGGCAAAGGTGAATTAGTGTTGAGTCATCACGGCACCGGGGCTGTTCATTGCCTTGTTTGTGTGGGATATGTATGAAATCACACACACACACACACACACACACACACACACACACACACACACCCGCAAGGGACATAAATAAGCTCTTCCAAGACTCTGAGTGCTAAAGGAGATTGAAAAACCTAGAAAATGTTAAAGGTTTAGCTAATCCAAGTAGAAGGGAGCTCCTGGAGAAGCTGGCCTTCTAGAAGAATCACCTCTCCTTATAGGACATCTGTCACTAGGAGTCTGGAGGCAGAGAGAAAACTTGGATGAGTTACATTTTTATTTTGGATTTTGATTTAAATGTTGCTTTAGGCTAGGGATGTAGCATGGTGGTAGAGTGCTTGCCTAGCCCTGAAAGGAGGTGCTTGTGTGCCTTTGAACAGGGGAGAAGAGAGAGAGATTCGCAGGCTTGGAAGCTACTGAGAATGGTCCCTTTGTCCCTTTGTTCCTGGTAACATCCTAATTTTAAGGACAGAGACACATCACAATAATCCCACCTTATGATTTAAAATATTATATGAAAGGGAGGAAGGTGGAGGTCTTTGTTGAAACCCTTCAAAAGGTGACCATTTCTTCTCAATGGAACATGGTTAGTGTGCTAACTAGTTTTATGTCAACTTGACACAAGCTACAGTTATCTGAAAGGAGGGAACCTCAACTGAGAAAATGCATCCATAAGATCCACCTGTAAGACTTTTTCTTTTTCCTGATCAGTGATTGATGGGGGATGAAGGCATAGCGGGGGCTTCCTCCCAGTCCCCAGATTAGGCACAAACCACACCCAAACGCCTGTTTTCACAGAGAGATCCTTTATTTAAAAAGTTTCTGACTCGGGCAGGAAACAACAGCAAATAACCTTGCAGCTATCATTTTAAGAGAAGAAGGAGAGGTCTGTGTTACAATGGTCTAGGATGCAATGTTGAAGGAGATGAGGGAGAAGGAGAAAAGGACGAGGGAAAGGGGAAAGGGGTATTTGTCCCCAAGGGGCAAAGGACTGCCTCTGAATAGAGAGGAGACAGACATGGCACATAGACAAATGGCGGTTTATAAAGGTTAAAGGGGAAACCCCGTGTTAGGATGAGGTGTTTCATTTTAATTGGGTGTGGTAATGAGGTGAGCCAAAGGGGGCTTTTGATTACTGGACTTTGGTGGTCAGCCTCAGGAGGAGGAAGTGACCA